AGGAGGCTGAGGCAGAAGGATTGCAAGTTTGAGGCCAGACTGGGCAATTTAGAGTGAACCTGTTTCAAAATAAAAATGGCTGGATATATCTCAGCGCCTCCCCGCTAAAAAAGGATATTTTCAGTATTTCACCAAAACTATTTATTAATCACATAAGGAAAGTAGTAATTTTTCCACTACTAGAGAAAACCAGAAGATGCCACTGTAATTGAGAGGTCCAAGTTAAAATCACAGGGCTGGAGTTGTGGCTCAGCTGTAGAGCTCTTGTCTACCATATGTGAGTAGGGTTTAATCCTCAGCACCCCATAAAAACAAAATAAAGACATTGTATCCACCTATAACTAAAAAATATTTTTAAAAAGTTGAAATCACAAGTGATAAATATAGATACCATCTATCCTTTGCTGTGATGTATTAAGAGCATATTGTCTCCTTCCTGTCCAATGATGCATAATCTTAATTATGAGAACATAGCAAACTCAAACTGAGAAACACCTCAAAATAACAGAGCACTGGTCTTTAAAAAAGCATCAAGGTTGGGCTGGGGGTGTAACTTGCTGGTTGACCACTTGCACTGAGTGAGACCCTGGCTTCCATCCCCCATTAACACAAGTATCAAGGTCACAAAAGACAAAAAAAACGAGAAACTGTCAGACTAGAAACTAAGAAGACATGACAATTAATTGAATTTGGAATCCTGTATTTGATCCTAAAACAAACAAACAAAAAATAATATTATGGGAAAACTTGGAGATCCAAATAAATTCTGTAGTTAATGTATCCACTGTGAATGTCTTAGTTGTGAGATAGATATATATATATATATTTGGTACTAGGGATTGAACTCACGGTGCTTAATCACCGAGCTACAACTCCAGCCTTTTTTTTTTTTTTTTTTTTTTTTTGTATTTTGAGACAGGGTATCCCTAAGTTGCTGAGGCTGACCTCAAACTTGCCATTTTCCTGCCTCAGCATCCCAAGTTGCTGGAATTATGGGCACACACCACCACACCCAGCAGTTTTGATAATTATTTTATGGATATCTAAAATATTAACACACAGGGGAGCTGACTGAAACATGTACTAGAACTCTATTTTTGTAATTTTTCTGTAATTCTAAATTTATCTCAAAATGAAACAATTGGGCTGAGGGTATAGCTCAGTGGCAGTGCGGTTACCTAGCATGTGAGAAGCCCTGGGTTGGAATCCCAGCACAAGAAAGAAGACAGGAAGGAAAACGAAGGGAAGAGAAAGGAATGAGGAAAGGGAAGGGTAGGGAGAAAGAAAAAAGGGAGAGAGAGAAAAAATTCATAAAATAAAAAATACAAAGAAATACATGAGGGCTGGGGTTGTGGCTCAGCGGTAGAGCGCTTGCCTGGCATGTGCGAGACTCTGGGTTCGATTCTCAGCACCACATAAAAATAAATAAGTGAAATAAAGATATTGTGTCCAAACTACACTAAAAAATAAACATTAAAAAAAAGAAATACATGAGAATGATAAACAAACTCAGGATAATAGTTAACTCTTATGGAAAGTAGGTGAATGAAATCAGAAACTTCAACTACAGGAGGAATGTTTATTTCTCATGCTGTGGGCACGTTAGACATTTAGCATATTTTTGTTACATTTATATGCCTATCCGACTTTTGAATTGGTTGACACTTTCGCCTATAATTTATTCATTCAGACAATATTTATCAAGTACCTCTTTTAAAATGTGGTTCCTGACACCAGGAAATTCAATTTCGTCATCTCCTGAGATTCCAACTTACTTTTGTGTTGGCTGGGGGCATAGAATCTCTGTGGCAAACTCTGCTATGGTGCTAAGAAAGCTGTGTACATGAATGGGTGTGTCTGAATTCCAACAAGGTATTTATAAAAACAAGTGTGTGTAGCCTGCTGACCTGGGGCCTAACAGAATCTAGACTGTGTTTTAACTACAACTAACAGACCACAGGATGGAGCTCTGAGTACATTTTCATCACTGGCGGATATTCCATATGTGAAATCAGATGCACTTCCAAGAGCAGGTGCAGCTGAACCCACTCTTCCAAGCCCTCCCTCAAAAATCCACTATTACATGCTAATTTCACATTAGTCAGCTGCTAGGAGAAAGGGAGAAACAGATGGGATCTTCTGATGAGTACTGAAACCCCAAAATTGAAAATCTTCACTATTCCAGGAAAGATCTAGGGAAAACCTCCTTCCCACCTACTAGTTTCTCCAATTATTTATTTTAACATGATTTTGATGTTTATCACACACTCTACTAAACCACAGTTAGTTCTAGAATATTTACTAAACACTTCATATTAGTATTTTAATGGGTATTTCGTAGAATCTAAACTACCCAATTTCTCTCTGTAGAGCTCTAATGTGGACCCTCTCTTGACCACAGGAGAAAAGGAAAGAGGCCCCAACTAGGTAGAGACAGGAAGCCTGGGAAACACAACTGGAAACGTTTCCATAGGAGTTCCCACCTATACCTACTGTCGTGCATGTGGTATGAGAAAATGTAAAGTCCTTTCCACCTCTTCCCATCTTCCTCTTTTCTACCCCATCCCTGATTCAAGAAAATTCACCTGTAATGAAGAATTGCCTTAGATATGCTGGGCTGAGGACACCAGAGTTAACCAATAAAATGGTAAAAACACACCAGCATCAAAGAACTAGAATTCATATGAAAGCCTAAAGAAATAGAATTCATATGAAAGGAATTTTCCAAATTGTTGCACCATTTAAACAATGATAAGGAATTTAGGAAACCTTAAGTGTTTTCTTTTAAGTTTAATATTTGCAGTTTGAACTGCTCTTCTGATACTGCATCTCCTTGAATTTATGACTAAAAATTGAAGAGGCATAAACTTAAAAACAAATTATCCCCAGACAAGATATATGTGGGTTAGGGCATAAGGCCTTGGGTGTGGTCCCTAGCATCACACACTCACACACACACACACACACACACAAAAAAAAAAAAAAAAAAAAAAAGGAAGCCCATAAACACATGACAGTTCTCAGGATCATGTCTCTTGGGAAATGCAAATAAAAGCCATAATGAAATACCACATCACAAACATTAGGATGGCTACCTTAAAAGAAAAAGGGAGGACTGGGATGTAGCTCAGTGGTAGTATGCTTTCCTGGCACGCGAGAAGCCTTGGGTTTGATCCCCAGCACCACATGCAAAAGAAAAGAACAAGTGTTGGCAAGGATTTAGAGAAACTGGAACCCTCATGCATTACTCTTGGGAATATAAAATGGTACAGCCCTTGTGGAAAGCAGTTTGGCATTTTCTCAGAGTTAAACATAGCACTATCATATGACCTAGCAATCTCACTCCCTAGGTAAAGATCCAAAAGAACTGAAAATATGGGGCTCAAATAGACTTCTGTACACCAACGTTTGTAGTGGTGTAACTCACCACAGCCAAAAGATGAAACAGCTTAAGTGATCAACAGATGAATGAATAAGCATTATGTGACACACGCATACAATGGAGTATTCGTCATTCGTAAAAATGCAATTGTTTTCTTGGTACCCAGGATTTAACCCAGAGGTGCTTCACCACTGTCACATACCCAGCCTTTTTATTTTTTTTAAAAAATATTTATTTATTTATTAGTTATTGGCGGACACAACATCTTTGTTTGTATGTGGTGCTGAGGATCGAACCCGGGCCGCACGAGGTAGCAAGGTGAGCGCGCTACCGCTTGAGCCACATCCCCAACCTTTTTAAATTTTGAGACAGGATCTTGCTAAATTGCTGAGGTTGGCCTCGAACTTGCAATTCTCCTGCGTTAGCCTCCTAAGTCACTGGATTACAGGCATGCACCACCAACCCAGCAATAAAAATTTTGACATATGGCACAATTACGGATGGACTTTGAAACATGCTAAGTGAACTAAGACACAGGACAAATACTGTATGATTCCACTTATAATAAGCTACCTAGAAAAGACAAATCCAGACAAAGCAGGATTGTGGTTACTAGGGGCTGGAGAGAGGGAAGAATGGGAAGTTACTGTATAAGGGGTACAGTTTGTTAGTGATGAATACACTTTGGGTATACATAGTAGTGATGGTTAAATACCACTATGCCCATATTTAGATGCCACGGAATTGTATACTTATAAATAGATAGAATCCAGCCAGGGCCTTGTGCCTAACAGGCTAGAGTCCTACTTTTTTTTTTTTTTTTTTGAGATGCTGGCAATTGAACTTGGGAGCTTGTGCACACCAAGTGTTCTACCACTGATATATATCTCCAGCCTGATAAATATTATATTATGTATATTTTACCACAATTTAAAAAACCCTAAATCATCCACTGTAATTAGTAATTAAAAGCTCACTATTATATGGCATTGCACTAAATAATAACTGTTTTCACAGTACCCACATGGGTTTGTCTTGTTTTGTGCAGATGTTTAAGTAGGCAAATGGGCAATCACTAACATCATGCCTTCTAAAGGCCACATACCACTTCCAATAAAATCAGGAAAATTGCCTGTTCTGAAACTCTCATACATTTTCCAGGCCCAACCAGACCCCACAACACACCCCTTATGGAGATCAGCTTCAGGGGACTTGGAACACATTAAAAACAGCATATATTTTATTTTCAAGCACACAACACCAAAATTTTCTCTGCATGAATTCTTCTCATACAGAATTGGGCATATTGAAAGCAAGTTGTTTCTGGTGAGGTTTCTGATGATCAGGAATCAGGACGTAGTAGCCCTAAAGTTAACAGTCTTGTACCCACCATCCTCAAAACCAAGACAGTATAGTTTACTTTCAAAGTAGAAGATAGTTACCATATCCTTCAATCCATAAAGCATTTCACTGTGAAATGATTCATGTCGACTCTGCATAATTCTTCTTATACATAATTCACTTCAAGTGAGATGAGGGACGAGTATAAAACATGCATTATTTGAAATATGCTCAGTATGAAAAGGCAGAACTTTATAATTTATCTTAAAAGAAAGAGTAAGTTCCAGGAGCTTTTTATTGTTTGAATAATAGAACACATAAAACCAGGCAGAGAAGTCCCTAAGGAAATGATGGTCATGTTCCACTGTTATTTGCCCTTTGGTCCTTCATCTTTAAGCACTTATTATATTTTCTTTTAAGGACATTAGATATTTATTTTGATCACAAATGCAATCCGAGTGTGAATACATAAATGTGGCATCTTTTATTCCCCCCCTCCACGTTCCTTTAAATAGAAAAAAGTGCTAAATGTCTCTTCATAGCCTATTTGGCCACAGTTGTTCCACCTATGGTTTTAAAAACAGACTGCAACTTGATCTTCTGAAATCTTTCTTGAACTACAGCTCATTCTGTTAAAGAAATCCTGGGAAAAAAGTTCTACTGATATTGTCGATAGTCTCCAAAAGGTGAGGATGGTAACTGGGTGGAAGGCAACTGGGAGGGGTCTTCAGCAAACTGAGGACCTGCAATTAAGAAATAAAAATGATTCTTAAATAACCTGAATGTTATATAATTAAAAAAGAACAAGTCTCTGTATAAAGTAAACCAATCAACTAAAAAATTATGTGCTACACTAGAGCTGTAATCTGAATTTCTTTTTAGACCTGCCTATTTCCCTCAAGAGGTCTGGAAAACCTTCAAATTTGTTGTAACATAACAGATGTCTTCCATTTTTTTCCAGAATGAACAGCTCTCAAATGTTATGCCAGAAAAATCAGATGGATTCATTACAGCAAAAAGCAACACTAGAGGTTTTATTTTGGTTGGGGAAGGTAGAGGTACAGGGGATTCAACTCAGGGGCACTTGACCACTGAGCCACATCCCCAACCCTATTTTGTATTTTATTTAGAGACAGGGTCTCACTGAGTTGCTTTAAGCCTCGCTTTTGCTGAGGCTGGCTTTGAACTTGTGATCCTCCGGCCTCAGCCTCCCAAGCCACTGGGGACTACAGGCATGCACCACTGTGCCCGGTAATACTCAAGTTTTTAAAGCAACTGTAATAACAAGCTGACATGTATCAATATTGGAAAAATCTCTCCCACCTCTTCACACATTTTTCAGTAGCTATTTAAAATTATTTTACAAACTGGGAACAGTAATGCACGCCTATAATCCCAGAGATTCGGGAGGATGAGGCAGGAAGATCACAAGTTCAAGATCAGCCTGGGCGCCAATCCCAAAAAACCAAAGGCCAAATGTTTTCTCTGAGAGGTGGATGCTGATCCATAAGGGAGAAGAGGGGAGGGGATATTGGGAGAGAAAGATGATGGAATGAGATGTGCATTATTACCCTATATACGGGTATGATTGCACAAATGGTGTGACTCTACATCATGTACAACCAGAGAAATGAAAAGTTGTGCTCCATTTGTGTAAAAAAAAAAAAAAAAAAAGATCAGCCTGGGCAACTTAACAAGACCCGTCTCAAAATAAAAAATAAAAAGGGCTTGGGGCTGGGGATGTGGCTCAAGAGGTAGCACGCTGGCCTGGTATGTGCAAGGCACTGGGTTCAATCCTCAGCACCACATAAAAATAAATAAAGATATTGTGTCCATCTAAAACAAAACAAAAAATAAATAAATAAATAAAAATAAAAAGGGCCGGGGATGTAGCTCAGTGGTAAAGCAGCCCTGGGTTCAATCCCCAATACCATACACACATACACTCAGAATTATTTTCACCAAATTTAAGTACTTAGCCATGTTTTAAAAGAATTCAGTAATCCAATTTATATAACCAATTAAGTATGGAATAAATGAAACAGGAAGATATCCCCTAGCTTGCTATAGAACTAAGTCTTAGTTTAGTTTTCAAAGGATGAGGGGGCCTGGGAACTAAGAAAAAATGTGACACAGTGGTGCATGCCTGTAATCCCAGAGGCTCAGGAGGCAGAGGCAAGAGGATTGCGAGTTTAAAGCCAGCCTCAGCAAAAAGCGAGGTGCTAAGCGACTCAGTGAGACCCTGTCTCTAAATAAAATACAAAATAGGGCTGGGGATGGGGCTCAGTGGTCGAGTGCCCTGAGTTCAATCTCTGGTACCACTCTCCCCCCAAAAAAAATATTTATAGAGGAATAAACAATCTTTTTTACTTTAGGGAAACTGAAACAGGCAAAAACATATCTAGGGGGGAAAAAAGAAGTAAAATGGTAAAATTCCCTGAATCTTTCTAAGTACTTCTACTCTAATGATACATTTTTATTTCACTATAAAAGCAATATCTGTTCATATCCAAAAACCTGAGAAGACACTGGATGGAAAAAGACAAATCAAAGATAATCACTGTTATCATTTAGATACAGGTCTAGCTAACCTCTTTTTCATTATTTTAAGAATTTACTTTCTTTTTTGGTTTTGTTGTTTTGCAGTGTTGTGGGTTGAATAGCCAGGGATTTGCGCCTGTGGGGCAACTGCTCTACCACCGTGTTACATCCTCGGCCCCCCACCTTTTTAAAATTTTGACTTTGAGCCAGGGTCTTGTAAAGTTGCCCAAGCTGACCTTATACTTGCAATCCTCACAAGTTACTAAGATGTGTAAATTAATTAGAAAAATATGATTACTTCTCAAAGATCTTCCCCCATACAACATTTTAAAAACATATCTCTTGTCTAAAAATAAATGTGCCACTTTTAGGTTGCTTCTATATAAATGCTGAATTTTGATTACTCAAAAGGAGGATTCCCTCTGAGGAAAAAAGCTTAAAGCAAAGTAACGAAGGCTAATCTCTATCTATAAGAGTTTTGTTGTATCCACATCTGAATTTCTGAAAATATCAAATTCTCCTGATGTTTCATGTGAAGTCTTTTTTTTTTTAAATCTTATTTTTTTAGTAGTAGGTGGACACATACCTTTGTTTTATTTTTATGCGGTGCTGAGGATCGAACCCAGTGTCTCACGCATGCCAGGCAAGCGCTCTACCTCTGAGCCACAACCCCAGCCCTCATGTGAAGTCTTTTACACACAAAAAAACTAAAAAGCAAAATTAGAACATGACCATCATAATAGACTGTTAAAACAGAAACATAAAGTGAGATGGTCATCTAGATCATCCCACTGGTAACTAATGAGCAGTGCTCTCAAAAACTGTGCCAAAAAGATACTAATCTCTCCCTCAGTGCTTCAGGGAAATCAAATCAAATTGGGAGGTATGATCTATTCCTGATTCTATGCTGATTCTTTTCCAAGCTCCAAAAATAATTTTCATCATGTCTCACTATTCTGCCCATTTCCTTCCCCAAATGCCAGGTCAAGTTTTTTACTATCACAACCCTCATATCTCTGCTTCCTTCCAATATCAAGGAATATTTCCATTTTGACCCTGAAATTTTTAACAGTTATAATAAACTGTACAAATTAATGGCTGAGTAGATATTCCATGACCATGTAATGATCACTGAATCCACAATTTAACTTTTTCCCTATGCAACAGACAAGAGGAACAATCAGCAACAAATTACATGACCAATTTCTCAAAGAGACTTTCCTTACAATCCTACCCTCCAAAATATAAGCTACCTTCTACTACTCTACATTTTATTTTCTTCAAAACAAGCAATATTGTTTTAAATAATCCATTGAACTGTTAATGTATAAACCATGAGAATGTAAGTCTTCAAGAGTAGGTAAGGGCTGTCTTTTCTTTCTTTCTTTTTCTTTTTTTTTTTTTTTTTGTGGTACTGGGGATTGAACCCAAGGATGTTCTACCACTAAGATACATTCCCAGCACTTTATTTTTGTTTGTTTGAATGTTTTTTTGCAGTGCTGGGGATTGACCTTTTTTGATTTTTTGAGACAGGGTCCCACTAATTGCTGAGGCTCGCCTTGAACTTGTGATCTTCCTGCCTCAGCCTCCCAAATAGCTGGTATTACAGGCATGAACCTCTGGGCCCAGCTAAAATGACTAGAAATTTCTTAGAATACGCAAAGAAGCACTGATAAAACCCGAGATCCATAAAGAAAGACCAACAGCAAATTAAAACAAAAGAATTTTTGTCAATGTTGTTAACTAAACATCACCAAACTTAGATTATGTTCATGTTCACTTTTTTGACTAGAAATTGAGCCTATTATCATAGTCTTCATGAATTTCAGCATGTTAATACCTAATGTAGAAATCAAACTATCCCATTTTAGCAGACAAAATATTCTTTCTTAACATTAGGAAACCAGGTAATATAGCTCAGTTGGTAGAGTGCTTACCTCAAATACACAAGGCCCTGGGTTCAATCCCCAGCACCAATTAAAAAAAAAAAAGAAAAAAGCTCACTTTTTTTAAAATATAAAATAAAATTTAGCGGGCTGGGGATGTGGCTCAAGCGGTAGCGTGCTCGTCTGGCATGCGTGCGGCCCGGGTTCGATCCTCAGCACCACATACCAACAAAGATGTTGTGTCCGCCGAAAACTAAAAAATAAATATTAAAAATTCTCTCTCTCTCTCTCCTCTCTCACTCTCTCTTTAAAAAAATA